AGGAGGGGAGGGGAGGGGAGCTGGAGGGGGAGGGATCCCAGCAACATGTGAAAACTCCCAGACACAAACCATAACAGAGGGACAGCCTGGTTACCAGGAGGCGGAAGTGGGACTGGAGCAGGACCAAGTCGGGGGGGACCCTTGTTTGCACAGGGATTTGTTGGGTCTGTTGCTGCGACATTAGAGACTTCTGTAACCAAGAGTCACATGGCTGTGGCAGTCTATAAATCCACTGCTGTATTTCTGGATCACAACTTCTAAAACAACCCAACCACCAGAGAAAATGTTGGCACTGTATATTTGTTCGTTATAATGTAGTGGGTTGAAATGCTGTGGTTAACATGTGGTTAGGTTAAGGCACAAAAAACACTTGGTTATGGTTAGGAATGGATCATGTTTTGGCTCAAAATACCCAGTTTGGGGGGCACAATCCTGGCCAGAAGAGCGGCAGTGTTTAAGTAAAAAACAACTACTCTTGCATGGGGTACTCTCCTGGCAGGAAACACAGTGGTGTTGCAGTAAAAAACAACCACTTCTGGGGGCACTATCCCCACAGGAAAAGCAGCGATGTGTCTGCAAACAACAACCTCTTTTGTTGGCATGATCCAGGCAGGAAAAGCAGCAATGTCTCAGTAAAGAACAACTGCTTTTCATGCCACTATCCCAGCAGGAAAAGCAGCAATGCATCTGCAAACAACAACAACCTCTTTTGTTGGCATGATCCAGGCAAGAAAAGCAGCAATGTCTCAGTAAAAAACAGTCGCTTTTCATGCCACTATCCCAGCAGGAAAAGCAGCAATGTGTCTGCAAATACCAACCTCTTTTGGTGGCAACAACCCCTGCAGGAAAAGCAGTGATGTCTCTGCAAAAAAACAGCAGCTTTTCATGTGTCTATAGCGGCAGAAAATGCAGCGATGTCTTGGCAAACAAAAGCCGCTTTTCATGGCACAACCCCTGCATGAAAAGCAGTGATGTCTCTGCAAAAAAAACAGCCGCTTTTCATGTGTCTATAGCGGCAGAAAACGCAGCGATGTCTTGGCAAACAAAAGCTGCTTTTCATGGCACAACCCCTGCGGGAAAAGCAGAGATGTCTCAGTGAAAAACAACTTCTTTTCATGCCTAATGAGCCACTGGAAAAACAGTGACAGGTTGCTTCAAAACACCCACGTCTGGTGCTTTAATAGCTGCTGGAAAAACCGCAATGATTCCCTAATCACTAACCACTTTTGTTGTTTGTCTTGCCAAGGTGTCATGCCATTCACCATCTACTCCACCTCCACATGACAAAGTCAGTTAATGTACTACATCACTTTAGAAATGATGATATGATACTATGAAACATGTGAATACAGAAATATACAATCCAAAGTTTTCTTCTGACAACTGAGCTAAAAATAACATGTCTTTAGGAGGGGACAAAAGCTAACAGTTAAGGGTTTAAAGGGATCTGCTGTGTGGACTTCAAGGTATGTGTGCTGCTAAACAGAATCAGTTATGATAATAATGTAAGACAGCACCCACAAACCATCTAAAATCAGTTTGGCTCTACAGCTTCCATGTGGCGGCAGCCCAGAGGCTTGGAACGAACCTCTGGGAGAAACTATTCACACACATTTATCCCCTCACTGAAATATTAACTGTTCAAAGCAGCTCTCTGGTGGCAGAGATCACCATGTGGCCCGTGCGCTTTACAGCAGATGTTTAATGGATTCAGGTGAGGCATTTTAAAATGAGCGTGACTGTAATTTCAAGTGCCTGTCACAATCTGTTATGCCTTGCGTGACTACAGAGTTACAGTCCAATGAGATGCAGGATATCACATCGCAACTAACATCTAGTTCTCAGATTTTTATCTTTATCAGATGATAATTCAATCTAGGATCAACAAGCCAAGCAACAAGCAACTTGTCTTATCTTGTCTAATTCTACTATTGTGTATCAGTGTTATTAAGAAGAAGTGATGCACTGGAATTCATTGCAAAACTGGGAGGAAACACAATTGTGATAAACAGAGGCTGCACACACACACACACACACACACACACAGTGAGTTTATAACTCTGCAGAAAGACACAAACACTGCACTCGAAATACTGTGCCACTGTCAGTGCACTGTGTGTGTAGATGCAAAAGAGTTTTAAAAATGTCTTCATTGGGAGGCTGACCTCACCCCTTTGGCGCAGATGCTCAGATTAGAAAGATGACCTTTGACCTTGCCCATTGTTGCCATGGTTCCTCGGGCTCCCCTGCCCATGGTTTGAACGGGGAGGAGGCGGGCGGGGCTCAGAGCGAGAAGGAGGGGATTCGAGATGCATAACCACAACAGGTGGTGTTGATTTAAGGGAGTTCTGCCTTCCCATGCGCTGGAACTGAACCCAATACATGACAAAGGCAGATCAAAGTGTGTTTCACTGTGGTGCGCGAAAATCCTTGTCAAACCATTCAGCTTCCTCCCATGAGCACTGTTTCTCTCTCTCTCTCTCTCTCCAGCGTGCATATTTTCCCCCCGCTCTCTGAGAACGAACTGCTCACAGATGCTCCGCGGCAACACCAAGAACACAAACTGTCATTTCCTTTAACAGCTCATTGTGGACTTATTAGAACCACTGTTCTGCTAATAGTGCCTCTCACACGCTCCCGCGGTGCACTCGAGAGCCCTCAGAGTGCGAGAGGGGCAGATGTAAAGTGAAGAGAATGTCATGGAGGATTATGATTCCACCCGTGGGGGAGAAAACACGATATTCTACACGAGGTTACACACCAGAGCCTGTGAGCGCACACAAACATATACAAACTCTCAAGAGACGATGCAATGTAGCTTTTGGCTGCGTGCCAAATCTCATCTCCCTGAGGCTCTTATAGAATCCACACCATGTCAGTTTCAATTGCCAACTGCAAAGTGCATGCACACACACACACGCTGACACATGAAGACATAAACACACATAAAAAGCCACTGCTCTGTACTCACATAGAGTCCTGTGTGCCTGTCTCCAAAGAAGGGGAAAGCAACAGAGATCTCCACGAGCCTGGAGCCTCCGTCGTCCTGAGCGTTGGTCTGGGAGTCCCCCTCCTCCTGGCCAAAGGGGTAGAAGTCCTCCAGGGGCACGGCGAGTTCCACCCCAGGCAGCAGGTCCAGGGAGAGCAGGGTGCAGAAGCAGGGCAGCAGGGCTCGCAGCACCAACACCATGGCCTCAGCCACCCAGGGATGGAGCTGACAGCAGGCACCACGGAGGGGAGGGAGGAGCGCACACACCTGAGGCAACAAGAGCAGAGCAGAACAGGACAAGACCGTACGTTCCTCCTCTCAACCACAGCAGTCTGAATCCTCCCCTGACTGCTCTCTGGCTCTGCCTCTTTCTCCCCTCTCTTGTCCTTCAGTAGTGAACTGGGCTTCTTGTGTGAGACAGGGGAATACTGTAGATTCCTTGCATTCTGCTTGCTGCTGGGTACTGCATGAGCTACACTCTGTCTCACTGAAATGAAACGAGGGGAGGAATGAAAGAGGGGGAGCAGCGTGATTCAGCTGAGATGTGTTTTTTTTTTTTTTTTTTTTTGAACAATCCAGCGATTTGGTCCCTGATGGTCAGCTTAGAAATATCCTCAATAAAAGCTCTATTCTGCCTGCCAAAGGAGTTCTTTCAGTTTTGGCCCCACCTCCCCCACAGGGATTCACTACCTTGCATAATTAGCTCCTTGCAGCCAATAGCTGCAAAGAGGCCGGTAACTGGATAACCACTGGGCGGATCTATGATAATCAAAGGGCTGCTTTAAAGAAACTCTGACAAGATTTTCCCCTTTCAGTGGAACTTCTACTATGTACAGTTACCACGGCATGCAAGGTTGCACAGGGAGAAGACATGCATGTGCACTGTTGTGAAAATGCAACACTGTACAATCAGTATGGTGAGAGTGAGGACTGAAATGAAAGAAGAGTTTGCTTCTCAGATACACACACACACACACACACACAAGAGATGCATGTGTATATGTGTGGTTTCTAATTATCAAAGGGAGGACCGCATATTATCTAAAAGTTTTTTAGGGTTGTGAGGGATTACAGATGGATTGCAAGTGAAACTTTCAAGGAATGATGATCCCCGCAGCAGACCTTGGAGTCTGCAAAGATCTTTGAAAGAAAACACTTAAGACAGCACTGGCAACAGAGAGCGAAGGTCATTCTCTCACCCACAACACTAAATCCACAAAGGCTTTTAATGGTGCGAGCCAAACGCCAGAACTCACATGCCATGAAAGGGCAGCGCTGTCTTTCGCAGAAAACTTTTCCCATAACAAAGTTGTGTGGCCGGTAGAATAAACACCATTGAGTCTCAAACCTCAACATCTCTCGCAAAACAAAATTGCATAATTGTGCACTGATACACCAAGTTTATTAAAAGTAATCACAACTTTTGCACTCGTTATCACTGATTCAATCTAATACAACACATAATAAAACAAAGTACTGACAGTATCTCTATGACTGCCTGAAACACTACTAAATCACAGCACCAGGGAAATCTGCTAACAATTACTGTAAATATTTGAATATATATTCTCACAACACAAACAGTGATTATGACATATAAAATTGGTACATAATCAATATGACAAATGAGTGTAGCAACAATCACAAGAGCAGAATGAAGCACCAACTGAGGAAACCTTGCATCACATTGTTTCCGAAAAAAAATTTGACACAGCATAAACAGTCTTAGAAACGCCAACTGTAGCGAGCCAGAGGAAATCCTTAAAACAATTTGGCACGTCCAGTCCACTTATAAACAAAACACTCATTGTTTGTTGTTGTTGAGTTTTCCTGCAGATTAATGTAATCCGGTGTGCACATGTGCATGGGTGGGAGCAAACGCCTTAGGAGTGTGTTTGTGTGCGCTTCCAAATGTGGACATAGCTTGTAACATAATGTTGTTGGGGAGCTGCCAGAGGAACAGTGAATGAGGAAGCCAGAGGTGCTACATACTTCGCTGCAGGGTCTCTGCTTACACACCAGGCTGTAGCATCTGATTGAAATAGACCTGTCGTCTTCTTGTCTCCTGGTCCAGCTGCTCTTTTAGAGTCAACACCTAATAAAGAAAAACAAACAGAAAAATTGAAGGTAGGTAGGTAACACAAAAAATCCAAACATAAACCTGTGGTACAAAATGAAGACCTTTTCCAACAAATCATCCACACTGAGAATTAAAATACCTGTTCCTCCAGGCATCTGACCCTCTGGCGATGAGCCTTCTCCCTGCTCTCCAGGGCCCGCTCTGCTTGGAGCTGGCTGTCTCTCAGACGATCCGTCTCCAAATCCAACTCCTGGTGATGGCGGGCTGTCACCTCCAGGAGGCGCTGTGCATGAGAGTGCTCCAACTGGGAGATTTGGGCCTGAGGACAGTTCACATGAGTTTACAGAATTTAAAATAGAGTGAAAGAGAGATAAAGGTCAGTGAGTGTAATCAGAGGTTCAGCAGAATGGGGACACAGACAGCTCTCTGACACCTGGGGTTACTGAGGTCATCCTGAACTCTGCCTCACGAGGATTCTTACCTGGGCAAGGTTGCCAACTAGAAAACACATGTTGGTAATAGCAGGGATGGATTATTTAATAGGCCTATGGAGCGCAGGCCCAAGGGGACGGGGGGGCCTGGACCGCAGCCTCTGTTTGAAGTGATTTTATTGAGATTTCTTGTTGGTAAGTCAATCAAGCTGCCATTAACAGACACAAAATGACCACAAAGAGAATAACAAACAGCTATAAAGAGATGAAAACAACCACAAAGGACTCAAAACAACTACAAAGAGATTCAAAAAGACAACAAAGGGACAAAAAGATTACAAAGAAACACAAAAAAACCATAAAAAGACTCAAGACAACTATATAGTGACACAAAATGACCACAAAGAGAGGCAAAAAAGCCACACACACATAAACAGTTACAAAGAGATGCAAAACAACTACAAATGACACAAGACACAAATCCACCATAAAATAGATGCAAAAACTACAAAAAGACACAAAATTAGCATAAAAAGATGCAAAACAACCATAAAGAGACTAAAATCAACCACAAACAGACTTAAAACAACTTCAAAAAGATTGATAAAAACTAGAAAGACTACAAAGAGACATAAAATAACCACAAAAAGATGCAAAACAACCACAAAGAAACTCAATACAACTACAGAGATTCAAAAAGATGACAATAAGACAGAAAGACTACAAAGAAACACAAAACAACCATAAAAAGACTCAAAACAACTATATAGAGACACAAAATGACCACAAAGAGAGGCAAAAAAGTCACATAAACAGTTACAAATAGATTCAAAACAACTACAAAGATATTTGAAAAGACAACAAAGAGACAAAGACACAAATCCACCATAAAAAAGACTCAAAAAACTACAAAAAGACACAAAACAACCATGAAGAGACTAAAATCAAACATAGACAGACTTAAAACAACTTCAAATAGATTGAAAAATACTACAAAGAGACACAAAATAACCACAAAAAGATGAAAAAACAACCACAAAGAAACTCAATACAACTACAGACATTCAAAAAGATGATATTAAGACCACAAAACAACCATAAAAAGATTCAAAACAACTACATACAGACACAGAATGACCACAAAGAGATGCAAAACCACAAAGAGATTAAAAAAACCCACGAGACAAAATAACTACAAAGAAACACAAACTAACCATGAAAAGACTCAAGACAACTATATAGAGACACACAATGACCACAAAGAAACTCTATACAACTACAGAGATTCAAAAAGATGACAATAAGACAAAAGACTACAAAGAAACACAATAAAAAGACCAAAACAACTACAAGTTGACACAAATAACATCAAAACATGCAAAACAAACACAAAAAGACTCAAAACAACTCAAAGAGACAACAAAGAAACACAAAACAACCATATAAAGACTCAAAATTACTACTGATGGACACAAAATAACCACAAAAAAGATGCAGACAACAACAAAGAGACTTGAAACAACTACTAAGAGATTGAAAAAACACTCACGACAACCATAAAAAAAGCCAAAATAACCACCTTGAGGAGGGATGGGGGGCCTTTTACATGTCTGTGCCCAGGGGCGCACTATCTCATAATCCGTCCATGGGTAAGAGGCAGCTTTATTTGACAGGTGTAAACAATCAAACACATGTTCAATAAAATGAAATTACATTGTAACAGTAGACGTTTCCTCTTTGGGAAATGTGACTGATGTGCTGCTGCTGTTCAAATACAACTTGTCAGTGCTTTCAAAGAGTGTATGAAATCTGGCTTTTCATGGAAGCAAGTGAAGCTTTAGAGAGAGTTCCAGATTCATATAAAACACTTTAATATTTCTAAATGCTACATGAGTTACAGTAACAGTTGTATTATGATGATTTTACATAATAATAATAAACTTTATTTCTGTAGCACTTTTCAAAACCAGAGTTACAATGTGCCTCACAAAATACAACACCATACAGTAAGATAAACATAAAGTTGAAAGATGATTGATGAGACATAACATGCAGTAAAAAAGGGATTTCAAGACGTGGTCAGAAAGACAAATCTAAATTTAAAAGAATGACATTAAACATTTTGGAAAAATAAAATAGTAAAAGTATGATCCCCCTTTGTTTCAAGCCTGGACTATAGATCTTTGAACATTTAATTCTCTAATCTGAGGGGTGTCGGAGCCAAATAAGGGTTAAGAGTTTTGAAATGTAAAGCGGAGCCAGACCATGAAGGGATTTAAAAGTAATCAATATAATCTTAAATTGAATTCTTTACTGGATGGGGAGCCAGTGTAGTTCGGCCAAGACTGAAGTGATGTGTGCCCGACATCGTGTTTGTGAGAAATCTGTACTGCTGCATTCTGCACCGACTGTAAATGGGCAACTGCTGCATTTTTTGTTTGTTTGTTTCAAGATTATTTCAGCTCAAGGGGGCATAGAGACGGAGATGACACACAGAACGCTGCAAGGATTCAGCCAGCATGAGGCATACACTCTACCAGGTGAGCTACAGGCCGCCCCAACTGCTGCATCATCAAAGCAAAATTAGGATATTGCATGACTGGCATGGTTTGACAAAGAGAAGTTGATTGATCCATACTACTACGCTGTTCCCACAGTGTGACCCCTGCTCCATACCTCTCACCTGCACAGTCTGCAGCTCACCCTGCTTTTCGGCCAGCTCCTGCTCCAGGCTGTGGACTGTCTGTCCCAACTGCTCCTTCTCTCTGGCTGCCGACGTTGCCTCCTCCTCCCCCCTGAGCCTCTCCATCTCCACCTGACAACAACACGAGGGTGACATAATGTGAACGACTTTACCATGATTGTTCTGCACTCATGTGCCTTCCTGTAATGTGTGTAGCAGAAGCCAAGCGCAGAGTTCTCACAGTCCACCTACATGTTTCCATCACTTCAAGATCACTCCGTACAATGTGTGACAAAGGAGATGAATATGTGGAAAATGGGACAAATGATATTACGCACATGACAAACTCCGGCAAATTATTCTCCTGCATGGATTAATGTAACTGCCCATTTATGTGCCTCAATGCTTCTGCAACGGCACGTCTTCATTTCATCCAGAATGTGGCAGCGAGGCTTCTGACCAACACTAAACACATATTACTTCAGTCCTGGCTTCTGCAGTACATGTACATGGGCTTCCAGCAGTTTTACAATTGACTTTAAGATGCCTTTAATTACATTTTAAAGCCCTTTGTGGTTTGGCTCCTTCATGTATTATATTTATTATATATTACATTTCAGATCTTTTACCTCATATTCAGCACCAAGACTTTTCAGGTCCCCTGAGGAAAAGCTGGTTAATGTTCTGGGGTCCAACAAAAGGGGGCTCATAACTTTCAGTGGCGGACTCAGGCTTTCTGAGGGGCAGGGGTGAAAAAAAAGAAAGGGCACCAGCTGCATGCGGTGGCACGCCAGCTCGCAGAAAGGTTTCTAACATGAAGGGCAGCCTTTATGACACTGCATCATGTTGTTTCCACTGGAAGAGCACCCGAGACAGCACTTTATCACGTTTTCTCCACTACAGTCGGCACCCTAGAAGGCACTTAATCACATTTTCTCCACTTGAGGGCACCTGAGAGGGCACTTTATCATGTTTCCTTTACTGGAAGAGCACCCTAGGTGATTTTATCACATTTTCTCCACTAGAAGAGCACCCTAGTGTGTACTTCATTACGTTTTCTCTACTATAAGAGCACCCTAGCTGGTGTTTCATCAAATTTTCTCTGCTGGAAGAGCACCCTAGAGGAAATTTTTTTCATTTTCTCCACTGGAAGAGCACATGAGACAGCACTTTATCACGTTTTCTCCACTACAGTCGGCACCCTAGAGGGCACTTCATCACATTTTTTCCACTTGAGGGCATCTGAGAGGGCAGTTTATCATGTTTTCTCCGCTGAAATAGCACCCTAGTCTGCACTTTATCAAGTTTTCTCCACTAAAAAGAGCACCCTAGAGGCGAATTTATCAATTTTCTCCACTGAAAGAGTACCCTAGAGTGCACTTTATTACATTTTCTCTACTGTAAGAGCACGCTAGCTTGGGCTTCATCATGTTTTCTCTACTGGAAGCACACCCTAGAGGACTCTCCATGTTTTCTCTACTGGATGGGCACCCTAGTGGACTCTTCACTACGTTTTATCCACTTGAGGGCATGCAAGACGTCACTTGTTTTCTCCACTAAAAGAACCACTGCTTAAGAGCACCCTTTAGCAGTGGTTCCCAACTGGTCCAGCCATGGGGTCCAGATTTCTTCAAAGTCAAAGCTATCAACAGTTAAGTACATTCAGCGTCATACTTGTGTTTGGCCAATGTCATTGAAATTCACTGTACTTCAAAATAAAGTGTGTTTACAAACTTGACACACTGCAGTCATTTTTTTCGCATTCAGAATGGACTCGAGTGACCCACCTGTTGGGAACCACTGCTCTAGAGGGTCCTTTATCATGCTTCATCTGACATAGAGGCATCCAAGAGGGCACTTTATCATGTTTTCTCTGTTGGAAGTAGTCTCACCACCAGACAATCAGAGATCTCCGCCTTCTGATAGTCTGGGGACACTCCTTTCTAAAGTGTGTTTAACACACCGGCGAAAACGGCCGGCAACAAAGCAACGCCTCTTGCATTTTTGAAAAGGACATGCCTTCTCAGAAATGTGCGCTCCTCCTTTTCTCGTCCACAAGGAAACAAACACACAGAGAGCTTGAAAATGGATGCCGAGAGATTTAACTCTGTTTTATCAAACGTGTGCTCATCCGTGAAGAAAATATGTTTGTTCAATCATTGTGTTTATAGACTTTACAAACATCGGATTAGTCTAAACGGTGATACAGTGATGTGAAAAATGTGATATATACACACATATATATATATATATATATATAGCTAAAAGCTCTGCTGGTATTCTACCCGAAGTATTTGTAAACAACAAGACGATTCCCTCTATAGTCTATAGTCCGGCCGGCCAGATGAGTCATGGCCTTGTAAAAGATTATGTTTGTTTCTTTTAGTTGGCGAGAATGTGTCGCCGCAAACGCGACAAACATCCACTAACTTTGACGGAGTTTTCTGCGAGCGCGACTTGAGCCATTTTGTACCGCTACACGTGTTTCTAGTCGGACTATGTTTACAAGCACAAGAGTTCAGCGAGCCACCGAAGGACCGCCCTGCAGATTTACTATTGGTTCTGCAACGTAGGGAGTTTTTTTAAACTCTGAAATTGTATCCGCCCATCTAAACACAAAATCAGGGTGAAAGTCATCAGTCTTTAGTTAAGCAAAGCATCTAAAGACTGACTTGTGAGTCTACGTTGGAAGGGCACCCTAGGGGGCACTTTACCATGTTTTTATTTACCACAGGAGCATCCACTTCTGTGGCATTTTCTTCAGACATGGGGGAACCAAAGGCCTCCCACCGAGTCAACCAGTGATGTTGTTACTGTTTCAGTTGTAATGTTATGAAGTTGCTTCTTACTGTCAGTATCAAAGCACCTGTGCTAGATACCCTAAATTTATGTAAGTGTCATACGAAACCACTGCAGTCATTTTTTTCCTGAAGATTTTTTTATTTTTGTTATTATTATTATTGTAATCTATTGTATTCTATAGTAGTCCACGTATATGTGTAACTGTGATTTAGACAAGTTTCTACAACTTCAGCGGGACTTATCCTAAGGATTAGGGAGAATGGAATGGATTGATATTTTGGGAAAAATACTGACTGTGTCCCTGTTTCTTGTTTGTATGCTAATCTAAGCTAAGCTAAGGTAAGCTAACCTAACCAGCTGCTGGCAGTAGCTCCATATGTGCCATACACACTTTTCGTCTAACTCTCGGAAATAAAGAGAATAAACTTATTTTGCTTAATGTCAAACAATTCCCTAAAGTATAGTGCAACAGACTGGTGAGCTCACCCTCTCCAGTGTCTTCCTGAGTGCTGACTTGTCTTTACCAAGACGTGTCAGCACCCTCTCCATCTCTGCTCTCTCGCTCTGTAGCTTTTGCAAAGAGCTCTGAAGATCAGTGACTTTGTCCTGGAGTTCCTCCTTCTCTCGTTGCAGCTGCTGAGAGCTCCCCTGTGCTTGCAGTCCAGCTTCCTGCTGCTGTTTCAGGCTCTGGGACACAGTCAATCATCTGTACATCAAAACAGAGCCTCAACCTTTGCACCTTTGTTTGCACTTTAACCTCAGTGTGACTCACCTCCTTCAGTGATCTGTTATGTTTCTCTAGCTCACAATATTTAAGCTCTAAGTCCTCCTGGGCTCTTTGAATGTTCTGGGTCTGTTCTGTTAGTGTGTGGTTCAGCCTCTTCTTCTCTGAGAGGGCATCTCGTGTTTTATCCAGACGTTCCTATGGGCACACACACGTTGATATACAATGAACCACTCAGTTTTATCAAAACATGATTTTGCACTCAGGCTGACCCTTTGGTCCTCCCCGTCTTTTATATTCTGTCTCTTTTTACAGTCCTTGACAGATTGTTGAACACTGCCGGCAAGAGTTGGGACTTTTCTCGCGCTTTTTACTGCAATGACCTGACAGCTTTTGAGCAAATCAGGAGATTTATACCAAGCATGTCATGTTTTTGTTTGCTCAGTATCTTTAAAGTGCAGTCCCAAACTAAGACCGGAAAGCTCTCCTGAGAAGCTCTTGGAGAATTAATGAGCTTGCCTGAGCGTTTTATTGCTCAGTCTTTGAGGTCCTTCAGGAAAACCACAGCGGCAAATGTAAATAAAAATGCTCAGTCTGGAGCTGAGAAGGTTACATTGCTGCACTGTAAATCAAAGCACGGCAGTGGAAGGGTGGCTATTCATCTTATTTTGAAGTTTCAATCAAACATCCTTATGTTGAGAGAGGGGGAAAGCTTACAAATAAAAAATACACAGTGCACATGATTTGTTTTATGTTACAGTAATGTTCTTATGTACCTGCAGCAGCCTTCGGTCCTGCTCACTGGCAGTCAGAGCCCTCTGCAGCTGTGTGATCTGCTCCTGCAGAGCTCCACTGCTGGTCCTGTTGTCACTGAGGGTGTTGGACAATTTGTGGATCTGTTCTCTCAGCTGGCTCTCATGCTGCTCAGCTCGAGCCAGTGACGTGGCCAGCCTCTCCTCACTGACCCTCAGCGCTGCACACCGGTCCTCGCTCTCACTCAGCTTCCTCCGCAGCTCCGTCAGTCTTTCCTGCAATGCCCCTGCCTCTGCGTCCAGCTCTGCTGCCCTGAGCTGGGCCCTCTGTAGCTCACCTTCGAGGGTGCGTTGGGAGAGCTCCAGGTGGCTCACCCTGCTTTCTGCTGCCTGTAGAGACTCCTTCAGCTTCTGTTGTTCTACATTTGCACGCGACTCTGAGTCCTGCAAAAGCTCCAAATTGTCCTGTAGAGGAATTGGCACAGGAGTTTATCAGCTGTCACTGAAGATGCTGTATGTTGTTTGAGTCAAAGGGGACCTATTATGATTTTCCTTATTTTCTGTCATATAAATAATGTCCCAATTCCTGTGAGCTAAAACCTCAGGCTTCAGACCGTTCTGAATACTCTGTTCTCAATGTTTTTCTCTACTCTGGAGACAAGATGTGTCAGCTCATGAAAGATTTCTTTATATCGTCATCTGCTTCAGGAATGGTATTGCATTATACACTGCTACAAGTAGTTACATGCTAACATCAGGGAAACACGTAATCTTAGTTGCTGATGTTGTTCATTTCTCCAAAATTTTGGATTTAATTTTGCCTTTCACATACTTGCAGAGCCCTGGATTCAGCCTCAGCAGCTTGCAGACTAGTCCTGCATTGGGCTACCTCCTCTTCAAGGTTTCTCTTCTACCTCTCTGCACGACGCACTACTTCTTCCTGCAGGGAAAGGGATGTACGCACCTCATGCAGTCGATCTGCCATCTCTCTTTTCCCTGGAACAACATGTTAGATATGCTGTATGTCTAAACAGAAATAATAAAGGATGTTCAGTTAAGTGGGATCCACTGGTTTTCTTACCCTGCTCTGACTGCTTCAAGGACTTCTGTAGTTGTAGCAGATGGGTGGCTGACTTATCCTGGCTGCCTTGGAGCTCTGTAACCTGCTGACTTAGACTGACTGTCTGAGCCTTGGCTTCATCCTGAAGGAGTAAGATGCGTTTATGAGATTAAAAAAGTGCAAACTTTAGGTCAACAATCTCAAACCACTCACAGAGTTTGAGGTTTGAGCCTTTATTCACTTATTAAGAAGCTGAAATATACCCTGTCTCGTTGTGTATCCCTGAGTTCCTGCTGGAATTCCCGCAGGACGGTATGCACTGAGTCCACGTCAGGCTCATCATCTTCACCACGAGACAAGAACAATACAGATCCGTCTGTGTCATTGTCTCCCCCTAACCAAAGAACACACTTATTAATGTATCCTGTCATAGTGAAAAATGCTATCATCTTATGGTGAAAGTGCATGACCATACCTCTCATTTGGAGGTGGTTTCTCCAGGGAGAGGGAGACCGTCTCCGGGACCCCAGTGTGCCTGAAAGCCTTGCATGGTTGGTACCAACAGTGCGGTGCACAGCTGAACACAACCCTGCCAACTTGAGCTCCAGGTCTCTGCGTTTGGTATCACCCAGGCCCAGCTGTTCTTCCAGGGCCTGGACCTTGCTTTCAGCGAGACCGACTTGCACGGAGAGTTCCTTGACCTTGATCCCAGCGTCTTCTAGTGCGATCTCCAACTGGGCGGTGGTTTCTCTGTGCCTCTGGTCACACTGCTGCTGATGAGCCTCTCTGTCCTGCAGCATCTTTCGGGTCTGATGCTCCGATGTCTCCAGTTCCATCACACGGCGCTGCAGACCTGAAACCTGAGCAGACCACAGAGTCACAAGATGAACCTAATTTTCTCTGTTTTTGGATTCTTCGTTCACTGTGGGGGCATGAGAGAAAAACAAAGTCTTCGTCATGAATTCAGCTTAACAGAGGGTGATTAATTGATATACAAATGGTCATCTGGGGGTTAAAGTATTGCTTAAAGGATGAAATATGGGCAACAGGCTGAACATAGTTCTTACTACAGCAGTGTTTGACAACACTACAGTGTAATTCCTGAGGAAACATGCCCTGAGTGTTATCGAGTGACCAACACTTAACTGTGTAAAGAACAAGGACATGGTTTCTATAAAGGGTTAATGTGCTTAAAGCTGACAAGCTTGTCAAGTTCACTGATAGGGTTTCTAAACTGTATCACAAGAGGTTAAGAGGGACCAGAGTACTGACTGAGGCATAATTTTAAACAAGAATATACTTTGGAAATGTGACTGTTCTTTATGGCTTCATAGCTTCTCAACCTCAGGACTCAGATGCGTGATATATAGACAAGGTCACAGGATATTTCAAAGACTGACGTTTAGATATTTGTTGTATTTAGTTTGGAAAAAGATACATTAACCAGACTTCAAATATATCATAATAATGTGGGATCCATTTGGAATGGCCTTCGTGCTTTTGGAAACAAAATGTAAGAGTATGCCATACATTCACTTGACAACACTGCTGCGGTCATGAGAACATGGGGACCCCAAAATGGGGTTATGAGACAGAGGCGGTTAAAAAGAAAATGAATTTTATAAAAACGAAAGCCTAATTTTTGCCACACTGTTCATTAAAACATAGACTCAAGTTTGATTTTTCAAAATTTCTGATAGTTTTCAATGAAATTTTGTTTCTTTACAGGCATAGTCTGGATTTTTTGAACCACCTCATGCAACCCCGCTTTAAAAGATCGTAACTGTCCTGTTAATAAACTGTTGTTCATTTATATTAACAAAATATTTCAAAGAAAACCCATCACTGTTAAAGAGGAGTATACAGTGTGTTATCATTCATGTTTTTTGTCCCTGCACGACTATGGCAGATATTCTTCAAGTATGTAAGCAAAGGTGGAATGTTTGCTCTAGCATGTTGTTAACAGACTAATTCCCGGAGGCCTTCTACCTCATTCAGCGCTGCGTCTCTGCCAGCCTCGCACTCCAGCACTCTCTGCTTAAGAGTGAAAGCCTCACGACGTGCCTCCTCCTCCTTCTGCTCCTCCTGACACACCCGGGCCTGCAGCTCACGCAGCTCCTGTTTCTGGCGGCTGTTCTCGCCTTCGAGGACCTTTACCTGCTCATGTTAACATAGCACACACTGCTTGAAGGTAATCCTTTTATTTAAAATAAATCAGATGGAAGGCAGTTTCCTCAATAATCTTTCACCTGTCTGCGCAGCTCCTGCAGATCTCTGCGTGCCTGCAGGCGAGACTTCTCCAGCTCTCGCATACTGCTCCGTAGAGCGGTTGCCTCTTGGTGCATTGAGCTCCTGCATTCCTCTAAGACGGCTGCCTTCTGCTCCCTCTCCTCCACGGCTCGTCTCAAGCTAGTAAAGATATGTTTGAAGTTAAAAAGATTTCCAAAATATTCATTGCTGCTAGACAAACAAAAAAAACTACTGAATTTACAGGAAATCTGCCGTTCCATGTGACAGCCATACCTGCTGTTGTCACTCTCTGCTCTCTTGATAAAACCTCTTAGCTCCTGGTTAGAGGCTTGGATCGCCTCTTTCTCTCTGGTCTCATCACCCAGGAGCCTCCTCAGGTCCAGAGCTTCTTTTCGTTGCTCGTCTCGCTCCTGTGCACACTCCTGGAGCTGTCTGTGGGCCTCAATTAGCTCCCTTTGCCCTTTAATAAGTCCATCCTCTGCCTCCTGCAGCTGCCGACGAAGGCCCTCTAACTTCATGCCCAGATTTATGGAGAAGGAAAGGTGCGATATGTCAATAAGGATAAATAAGGAAGAGATAAACAGCAAACCTCTTATTCATGGGGTCAGTACATAAACTCTTGCTTTTTTCTTGTTCCTGGTTTAAAATGAGCTTTAAACTCCTTTTAAAACCTGCAATATGCACTGAACAAATTTGTGAGCACTCCTCCCTTTCTAAGATAATCCATCCACCATATCAAGATCCAGATTACTACTTGCAAATAGTCTGACTAAAAACCCACATTTGCTTTAGATGTGAGAGGGTGTAAGACTTTAATCTTTTCAAAGTCTTTTCTAAAGTATTTTCAAAATCTTCTAGTGTATGGTAGGCATTAGTAAGCACTTCTCCTATTCCAACATAATCTATCCACCTGACAGGTGTGGCATATCAAGATCCTGATTAAACAGCAAGATTATGGCACAGGTGTGTCTTGGGATGGTCACACTCTATACTGTACAGTTTCATCTTGAAAAAAGACATTTATCAGGCACTCCCAAACTTGCATTAAGAATTATGACAAATTAGCAATTCTTTGTGTATCTGTATCTGTTTTAGTGGAAGGAGACCGTGGGAATAAGAGGTGAACTGGTTAGGATTTCTCAATTAGGTGCTGTTTACTGGATCAGATACATGCAGAATTTAACACAGACTCTTGTTAACACCACAACTCCACCAGTTTTGCCTGGGGAGGCTGTGGCTCAGGAGGTAGAGCAGGTCGTCCACCAATCGGAAGATCAGTGGTTCAATCCCTGGCTCATCCAGTCTGCATGTCAGAGTATCCTTACACGAGAATCTGAAGCCGAAATTCCTCCCAATGGCTGCGTGTCAGTGTGTTAAGAAACTGTGTAGCAGTGTACAAATGGGTGAACATGACTCATAGTGGTCAAATGACTAGAAAGGTGCTAAATTTCTGCACAAAATTTGAGAGAAATAAGACTTTTTCCTGTACATAACAAAAGTTTTATTTCAACCCATGGAAAAAATGAGCAAAAACAAAAGCCTTTATATTTTTGTTCAGTGTAAGGTCAACCACCCAACACACACATGAGTTTTTATATTCTCAAAATTTCTAAAAAACTTCTATTAGGCTGTTATCTACAGTACATCAGAAGCTCAATCGTCAACATCGAATGGGAAAAATCCCTCAGCACACTGTAAGACTGATTTTGGATCAGATAATGCATCACGGCTTCATTGTTTGAAAGCTGAATCTCAACATCTCCTATTTTAAGTGCTTCGTGTGCAATCTCAAGACACTGTATGACCCATATTCTGTTTTACGGCAATATGTTGTGTGTAGCCAGAAAAAGAGGGAGGACTGAGCTTATCTGGCATGGATAAGAGCCAGTTGGGCCTGTAGCCAGGTGCTGTCTCTCCCCATCTCCCCTCTGCGGCTCGCAGTGTAAAGAATCCACAGAGAGCAACATGATGAACAGCAGCCCCCCTTCCCCTGGTGGAGGTGGTGGGGGAGGAGGAGGAGGAGGAGGAGGAGGAGGGAGAGGGAGGATGAGGAGCAGGAGTGTTATGTTCAGAGGCCACACAAGATGGTTCTTTCTCATAAACTCTAATGTGAGAAAAAACAAGCCAGTGCTGATCTGGCCAATTATACTTTATTTTATCTGATTTTTTAGGAGGGGGGTAGCGGAGGAGAAAGGCAGGGGATGTGAGGGCAGCAGTGTTGTGTTATATGGATGGGAGAGGGGGACCTGGAGTCCCAGTGGAGCCAGCCTCTCGCTGCTGCAAGGGAGAAAATAAACACTCCCCCACCGGCTTATTTACACAAGGGGTTAACTTAAACTTTGATTTCATATTACGGTACCAGGGACCATATCCTCCTCCCTCTGGTTCTGCCTCTCTCCCCTTGCTTTCTTCCTCTATCGTGCTCACTAGCTCTCTGTCACACACTCTCACTCCTGCTTTGTCACTGTCTGACATGAGAATCCTGAGACGGGATTAGTGAAAATAATCAAATAAGGAAATGAGCAGGAGTTTGCGGCCAAATATGACAGTGTTGCTGAGGCTTGACTTGATATATGGTGGGGAGGGCTGTCCAAACCCCAAAACTCTTCTGCTCTGGCTCCACACAACCTCATTCACTATTCTTTGACAAGAGTAAGGAGACAGAGCGAAGACAGGATGATCCTCATTTTTACTTTTTCCCTAAAACCATAAAGTCCCCACACAGATAAACAATCTCGTTTTCCTAGGAAACCAGGGTTTTAAATCAAGGCATGGCGAGGCCCTTACAGCTCTGCAGTCACATCTTAATGAGGTGACTGTGAGCTTGTTATTTCACTAAAACGCCCAGCGACCCTGTGGCTGGAATCTTGACCTCAAGCAACCCCAAGAGATGAGATTTACAGCTCTCATTTGGCTTGGGGAGGTATGTCACTGGGCCAAAATTACAGTCTCTAATTGCGCTTTTATGTTTATATCAAGGTCAGTGGAACCAAATTTTTCCTGCAGTGGACTTGACAGGAAAAAGAGAGCGAGTGCTGAGAGGGAGTCTTAAGAGCAGACACCACCTCTCCTTGTAGGATTTGGCCCTGCGCACTGTGCACCTGATGGCACCCTGATGCTAGTAAAGCTCTGTGGCATCGGCCAATGTCAACAGCGGCCTATGGTAAATGGCTCTCCCTCACACTGGCACTAATTGGTGCAAACTCTCACTCACGCTAGAAGCAGATCCGTGTTCTCCCATCCTGTGCCAAGCCAAACAAACCTGTAATTTCCTATCCATTTCTGTGATCCTACTGTACAAACCACCTCCACTGACATCCACCCTATATATTCTATGAATTGCTTTATATATACCTGTCCATATAAACATGCTAATAGTCACCTGACCTAACGTTATTCCTGTATGAGTCATCATTGTAACGGACATTATCATAAACTGGTGCCACTGAAAAGACGCCCATGATATTTATGTTCAAAGGGGCTCATTTTCAGGTTCATACTTGTATTCTGGGTTTGTACTAGAACAAGTTTACATAATTTAATGTTCAAAAAACACTTTATCAGCCTCATACTGTCTGTGCTGGAACACCTGTATTCACCCTCTGTCTGAAACGCTCCGTTGTAGCATCTGTCTCTTTAATCTCCCCCTCCCGAAAAAGCCCAGTCTGTTCTGATTGGTCAGCGTTTCCAGTTCTTATATGTCTTGATGTATGTGCATCTCCATTGCAGCCAGGGAATGACTGTAGTGGAGAATAGCGGCACTTTTTACCATGAAAAATCAACAACAGAAGCTTCCAAACACAACTGGACATATTCCAGCAGGAATATTAATTAAAACTAGGGTGAAAAAAACAACTTCTGCAACCAAGGTTACATGTTTCCCTGACATTAGCATGTACATGCACTGTAAACGTGCCTTTAGCAGATGACCGTAAAAAGAAATCTGTCACGAACTGAGGTCAACTTTTCATGAAAGTAGAAACTGTCAACTTGTCGCACACCATTTCCATCTTCACTGTGACACTTGCCCACCCTAACATATTTTCGTGGGGGAGTGGGATTTAATTTTACTTAACCAATTACTAGAGACCAACATATCTGCGTCATTTCATGTCCACACTGACGTATAGCCATGCCAACATACCTGTTTTGCCAGGGTTTTAGAGTTGCGTGGAGCGAAGTAAAAACAAACTGCAATGTTGGGTGATATTGCAAAGATGTCAATCTAGAACAGTCTCGATAGCAGTGTCTATCTTGTCTATATCTATCTTGTCTTCTTAAAAAAGAAGTTAGTCTTGGCAAAGGCAGTGATTGGCTTATCGAAGCTCCCCATTTTAATATAACCGTGGAACACTGTTTCATGTCAAGATGCCGGATGAATCGGCCAACTTGAACTTGGCGGAGTGGGCGGATTCAAACGTGGAAACTGTGGAAATGAGTTAGCATTTTTGCAGTTTTGGTTCCCTCGTCTCAAAGTCAGTGGGTTTTTGGTTAGATGCCTAAAATAAGGTCCGTGTTTAACACAAGCTTAAGAGACTTTAACGCTTTGTTCTACGAAATAAAATACATCAGTAATTACCCCACTCGTGAATCTTGAAGCCTTAATGTGTCTCAAAAAAGGTGGTTGCTTACAAGTTAGAGAGGTCATTGCCAAAAACGGCTTCACAGCCTTGCTGTGGTAGTGATGTTGAATTTGTGCAATAGTGATGAGGTTCGTTTAAAGCCTTACGTAACAATAAAGCAAAACGTGTAAATATCAACAACTTCTGTTCACCACAGATCTTATTTTCTTGAATAATCCAAAATACAATGGAAAATTCCTGCAGGCATTTTGACGAGGGAACCAGGGCGATGTTTTTTTGCTCACAGGTCTTACTTTAACATACATTTACTCCAATATTTCACACTTTGGCCATGTTTAACACAAACATCAGACACTGTAACATCATATATATGACGGAAAATAAAGAAAAACATAATTAGTCCCCTTTAAGAGAAAGGCTAAAAAAATGGTGATGTTTTTAAAGATTCTCACCTCCTGTTGTGCTTCGTCTTTCTGTTGGTTTAACTCTCTGGCTTGCTCAGTTAGACTCTTCTTGGTGTTCTCATGGGAGTTCAAAGACTCCTCAAATTGAGCCCGCAGGTCTTGCAGCTCAGACTGAAGGATAGCCGTTGCATTCTGGAACAGTGAGGTACACATATCTGTGTTAGCTGACTTACATGTAAAAGACATAGAAAGTTGACCAGAGCCAACATGAGCCAGCCAGATTTTACCTTCTCCTGCTCCTGTTTGTGAATCACCTCCCTCTGCATGCATTCTAGCTCCATGCTTGCTGTGGTCAGGTCCTGCTGCAGGGCTGCTAGCTTCTCCATGAGGGCAGCCTTCTCTGCCTCCTTCTGGGACAAAGCCTGGTGACGACAGACAGCGAGGTCAGGGTCAGTCATAATGTGGCTCACAGACAGTTTGGCCATGGGGACTTGGACATGCAGAAACTATTGTGCTTAGATAACCTTTCACTGAAGGACTGTACTTAAAGGAGGATGACTCGAAAGCTCCCTAGAAGTGAAGCCAAAACGTCTTGATCTCTCCCTGGTGGCTGACTGCAGTATAGGTCTTAAACCCCGCCCCCTTTATGTTAGCAGTTGAGATGTGGGCCATTATAGGTAATTCTGATCACACTGGTGTTTGTTTGTGTTAATTTTTCTATTAATTTTGATTAAAGCTCATTATTTGATGCTATAAAAAGGGCGTTTGACATCATGATTGACAGCTGTGTGTGCCAATCTGTGTGCTTGCGATTGGGCAGATGGATGTATAGGCAGGAATGCTATACCATGGAGATCTCTACCACGCAGACTTTGGCTTCAAATGACGTCACCAGTGTAGGATGTCAATGGCCGTATCCAAGATATTTTTCTTCATTTTTGTAGAGTCGGAGGAAGTGGAGACGTGTTGTGCGCCTTTATGTACAGACTATGGAATGGACCTAGCGTGACCTTGAATGAGGATACTGGCAGCTCATACAGCATTTGATGGACACACTGGCAACTGTGAATACAAAACTTGGAATGTGGTGCTTATGAGACAATTCTTTAACCCTTGGCCTCTCCTACGATACGCCATATTTCAAGGTTCATAAACAATGGTAACAAACCTATGAAGACCACCTCACACACCTGCTGCTTTTCACTCTCAGCCTGCAGGAGGCTTTGGTTGAAGTCCTGCTGCAGCCTGGCCTGCTCCTCGTGCACCTGCTGCAGCTCCTTGTGGCTGTGCGCACGCTGTTCCTCACACTGTCTCCGCAGCTGCTCCTCCGCCTGCTCCCGCTGAACTGTCAGCTCCGCACACTGTTGCTCCTGTCAACCACCAAACACACACACACACACACACACACACACACACACACTGATTAGTTAATAGGTAGCAAAAGCATCTGATTTAAAGGTTGTCAAGTCAACAAAAGTTTGACTGAACCTTTTGTCGGCGTTCAGCTTCAAGCTGCTCTCTGTGAACCTGCTCTTTGTTGTTCAGGGTCAGCAGGGCATTCCTCTCCACCTGGGCCAGCTTCTCCTCCAGCTTACTCCGCTCTTGTGCAGCTTGCGCAAGCTGGCGTTCAGCATCCACACGCATCCGAGCAGCATCACCTAAACACATGTATCTGATCTCTATCAAAATCCCACTTGATTACTAGAAGGAGACACTCAGGATCAGCAAGATTTTATTTACAGTTATTTATAGGGGATACTCATCCGTGGATTTATGTGGAACATGCTAGCTTAACACGACTTATCTGATCCATGTGTGTTTGTGCGGGATTGTGGGACCCTGGTCAGCTGAGAAAGCAGCCCCAGTGATCCCGCAGTCCAGCTGCTGCAGAGCTCACAGCTGAAATATGGATCTCTAGTGGGCTGTTGGAAAGGCTTCATGGCCAGGGGCCTTGGCACGGAGGACAGTGGGGTCTCTGAGGGAGGGGGCTACTCACGCGTCAAGGCCTCGTTAGCCAGGAGCAAGCTGCGCCTCTCCCCCTCCGTCCTGGTGCGCTCGGCCTCCAGAGACGAGGCAAGCTCCTGGCTCTCATACAGAGCTGTCTCCAGGGACTCCTTCTCTGCTCTGGAACACAGCGGTGAAGTGGTTTAAGCTCTGAGAAAAAACACCTTTGAACCACGAGGTGTAGGTCATAAAATTCAATGATCCATCATGAGCATAGTTTCCAAATAAAACCATGTTACTTAAAGACTCTTGTTACATGTGACTTGCTGGGTTTCACAAAGTAAAATCTGCTTAAAAAGTCAAAATGACCTTGAATACACATTGGCAGTGAGTCTGACTTAAACAAACACACACAGACACACACACATACACACTGGGTTGTTTATGATGAGGAGATTTACTGACTTACATTCATTCCCTACACTCTTAACCGTAACCGATACATGCTTAACCCCAGCTCTGACCCTGACCTCAACCAATGAAGACAGAAACAATTCCACTGTAGTGTGTGCTGAATGCAACTGCAGAAAACAAACTGGGGAAACTGGTTTTAAATCTCAGATTGGTCGCAAACATTTTAGAGGTCAAACCACATGAACAAACACTCATACACACAAACCCACGCGGACCTAAGTGCAACCAGCTCCTGCGTGAGACCACAGGCCTTTCGGTCAGCGGAGTTTAGCCTGACATCCAGAGCAGCCCTGTCCTTGGCCAGCTCCTCCCTGTCATGGGTAGCTCTCTTTAGGGCTGTGGTCTGCGTCTCCAGCTCCTTCTTGCACGCACACAGCTCCTCTGACACAGTCTGCATCTGCCTGTTGACCTAGAGACCGACAAACGGAGATTTTTAAAATGCCATCAACTAATCGAATCATACTTTTTCCTTATTGCACACAAAATAAAGACTATACAGAAAATTATTAAATTCATTCACACTTCATATCTGTATTGTCATAGCTGTGAGCAGCAGAAGGAGTATGGTGGGTATTTTGTATCTGTTGTATTAAGAACGAACCACCCGACCTCTGCGTGTTACGCAGCCACATTTTATGTGCTAACATTGAACTCCAGATACCCCTCACTTTTTGCTGTTATGACGCATAAATTAAACAAACTTACAGCAATTCATGACAGTGTACAGGAACTGCAGGGCCATAACAAATGCACTGCCTGAAGCAAAACAAAAATGATTAGTGGGGTTATGATTTTTTTCCAGTTACCACTTAAATCATCGTGACACACCACAGGACCTATATGTAGCAAGGAAAGCAGTGAACTGGAAACGTGCAGTTGATGCGGAACTTTCTGAATCTTATTCAGCATTTATAAAAGATATACTTAGCAGGATTTTCCTAAAAAACGTATAGACTCATACCAAAGTAATCGCTCTCCATCATCACTACTAAACCAACAGAAGTATGTGGCAGTGTATTCGTCTGCAGAGACTCTGCCCTCTGCCTAGTTTCTCAGATTTTCTTTCTTGTTTCACTGTGTTCAGGATGTTCCTGGGCACAGTGTGCAGGTGAGGTCCGAACTTTGAAGGTAGTGACCAGGTGCCACACCGTAAAAAGCAGGCATCCAAGAGGAAGCATCAAAAATTGGGGACAAAATGCTGAAACTGGCAGTATCGTCAACAAAAAGTAGCTGACAATTCCTGCACAATATACCTGTAAAGTCTAACAAAAGATTATTGTTTGAAAGTACTGAGATTTTCCTGGGATTTATCTTTTAGTAATTCACTGAATTTGGCAGATTATCTAACTGGAAATTGCACTTGAATGCAAACATGATAGATCTGGTGAATAGGCTACATTTATATAGAGCTTTTCAACTTTACCAGACAAAGCGCTTTACAGTTTGCCTCTCATGCACCGATTTGCACCCATACTCAACTGCACAACTGCTGCCATACAAGAAGCTGGCCTTCCTGTCAGGAGCACCCTGGGGTTCAGTGTCTTGCTCAAGAACACTTTAACACTCGGAGATAAAGAGTCAGGGATCAAACAAACAAACAAACTTGTGATTAAAGGACAACCCACTAGAAGGTCCATTATTTCAAGGATGAATCTCAGAACTATGCAAGGTGGCAGCTTTTAAGAGAATATCCTAAAGCCTTATAAATGAGGCAGAGAAATACAATAATACATTGGGAATGTTTCAGTGTTTTTTACCTGCTACAGGGGAACCAGTGAACACACTTTTTTGTGCATAGGGGGATTTATGTTGCAAAGTATCGAGCTCATAAAATACACAGATGTGCTTATATTGATAGTTTTGTTCCAAAATGTAACACACAGAGACAATTTGTCTGTACTGTGGACAGCTCTTGGTGGGATTGTCATGAATGCAGGAGGGTGGATGGGTCGGTGAAGATTCTCAGTCATCCAGGTCATGGTAATCCTGAGTGCTATATCGTAGGCAACTGGACTTGCTTGAGTTTCCTGGCTTTAAACTCTGTGACTCCACACCAGTCCTTTAGAACTGAAGACGCTTCTTGGATGAGAGGCGAAACGTCTTCAAGAAACTCAAGCAAGTCCAGTTGCCTACAATATAGCATTTAGGAGGGTGGATGTGGCGATGGTGCAACTGAAGGAAACATTTATATGGATACTATTGTGTCACTCATCTTTTATGGACTCTAAGTGGACATTAAACAGGGCTAGTATTTTCCTATTGAACGGATTGTTAAAGGTTTACAGCACCTGTCTCAACCCAACTGAGTATACCTTCCAATCAAGCCTGTCTCTTCTGACTGAGGTGGTTCTATAAGGCATTTATTCTGATTATTAGTGGAATATTAGGGTCCATGCAAACAAATCTTATATAAAGCTCTTAGATAAAGCTCTGTTCTGGGACAGAAAAAACACGTTTACTGGGAGCTGTAAGATCTCAAAACTGTATGTCCCTGGCCTGTTACGAACACACTATCACACAATGTCTGGGTCTATTACGGGCGCCTGCAACTTCTAATATTTCACTGTAACTAATTCTTTGAAAAGTAACAATCGCTGCTATTTAACCCAACGAAAATGAACTCACACTGACTAAATATTGGCACATGATGTCTTTCAGCCTCTCCTCAGGTAAATAAATATCAGAGTAGAAGTACACCAATGTTTAACAATGTGAGTGGCGCCCAATAAGGGGATGAAACAAGAGCTCCGTGCAGTGGAGGTCACGGCAGAGCTTATTTTATACACACATGATTTATTTTTACAGATAAGCTGTCTAAAAATGTTTGGACGGAATTTGTCAAATTGTTTAGGTTTGTTATATTCTAGCAGAGATCAACGCGGATATCCCAGTTTCACATTCGGAACAGATAACAAAACAGGAGAGGATTCCTTTCATTCTTCAGGGGACGAGATCTGGATCTGCTGAGGGAAGGATGGGAATACTTTAGGTGTTAATTTATTGGGTTTTTCACTAAACCCCCACTGGATATTATATGTCCATCTATTTATCTTTTCCAGTTCACATTTGTTCATGAAGATCCCTTGCTTGTTATGTCCCAAGTTACTCATAAAACACAGAGAGGGGCTCAAACTGCTCTCCGTATCCCATTAGAAAGAAAAAAAAAAAAACTATAGCAGATGTGTTCAGTACCTCCGATACATTTTAATGTGACAATGAGCTCCGTGAACCTGCTGAAAGCTATTAATAACATCAACATGGTTCTCCCCCAGGTGGAGGGAGTTGGGGGGATGGAGGCTGGATGGCCGGGGGTCTCTGACCTGGGAGTGCTGCTCCAGGGCCTGAGCGTTCTCCGTCTGCAGCAGGCTCAGCTCTGCTTCCAGCTTCTGGCAAAGATCCTGTAAGTGGCTGTGGGAGCTCTCCAGGGCCTGTTTGTCAGCGAGCAGATTCATCATGTCCTGTTGCACCCGTGCCGTCTCCTCCCTGGCTGCTGCCCGCTCCATTTCAGCTTCCCGTCTACGTTCACCGAGCTCCGTCTTCTCACCTTCTGTCTGGAGGGGAAACTGAAATATTTCACTTCTGTCCTGTTCAACTCTGCCTTCCATCAGTGTTACAGGGCAACTGCACCATGTCCACTATTTTTTAATTCAGTAAGTAAGTAAAGTTTATTTAATGTAGCATTTTAGAGGAATAAATTTGTTAAAAATAAGATCATAAAACTGTAAAAAACATTTAAGAGAAACAAACAAAAAATATAGCAACAAAATACCTTAAAACACACAAAAATTACAAACTCTAGACTGTACAAGGTGAGACAAAGGCCCATTAGAATAAATGAGCCTTCAGCTACTTTTAAGGCGTCAACACAGACCGCAGATCACATGTCTATAGTGACAGTGTTCCACAGTGTCAGGGCCACCACTTCACAATGAAAAGAACAATCACCTTTTGCTTTCAATCGAGCACAAGGGACGACCAGTAACCTCTAGTCAGACGACCTAAGTGACCTACTGGTTATATAACGGTGGAGCAGGTCAGAGATGTACACAGGTGCCTGACTATGCACTAAAACCCTCTGAAACATGCAAGACCACCCGCGATCATCGGGGTTCCCTCCTCACAACAGGATATCGGATTGTAAATTCTAAACATGTTGAGTATTTGTGATATGAAATTGGTGTTGTCAGGATGGACTTCCAGGCAGATTGTGGGATGTTAAAAACACTCTTAACGTACCTCACACTTCAAGAAAATCTGGCAGGATTATCTTTGGGAGCCATCAAAAAAATTAGGGCTTTGCTGAGTTTTGCATGTTGGTATAGTCACAATGAGTGTTTAATGACGTTGGCACTGTCTTGTCATTGTCTTGAGTTAGTCAGGAAGAAGGTCTTTGAGAGATATATTCAGTCACAGTATTCATGAACAAAATCAACACTACTGACCTGGAGCAGTATACGATTGAGTTCCACCTTGTCTTTAGCTAAGCCTTCGCTCAGGGCAGCCATCTTGGCAAGAGAATCTTTAAGGGCAGCCTCCTGATTCTGCAGTTTGGTGAGGGCTAACTCATGAGCAGCACTCTGAGACTCCATCTGTGGAGCGAGGCATAAATATTAGATAGATTTATACCCTCAGGGAGAATCTAGTAAATCAGATCAGGCTACCTGGTGCAAACAAACAGCAGTCTACCTTGCTGAGCGCCAGAGCGAGGCTGGCCTTATCATCCTCCAACACCTCCTTCTGCAGGGTGACTTGACTCAGAGCCTCCTTCACTGTCACAAGCTCCCTGCGCAGATCTGAGTGCTTCCCTTCAAGCTCCTCCAGACTCCTCTCGCTGGGACACAAAATGCAACACATACATGACTCTCTCACATCGTGTCTTTGTCTAACACACACGCAGATCATTTATATAAACAAAATCCCTTAACAGCAATCTATCTCCACTTTGAAAGAAGGAGAAATGTTGGTGCCAGAGGCCAGAACTCTGAGGGAGTTACTTTTTTGCTGTATCGCATGTCCTGCTCCAATTTTCAGCTAATCAAATTTTTTTTAAAGCAAAAGAAACCCTGAAAAAAAGCTGTCCTCTTCCATGAGCGCAGTAATGCAATGTAAATCATTTACATTTTCATCCAACTGTCATCTGGGTACATTGCCGACTGGAGAATGACATGTGTTCCTGATCTGAACTGTAAACAAACGGAGCTTTAAAACAATCGCTGGTGACGGGGTGCGTGTTGTGTAACGGTCATTCTCCCTTGCTCGTGCTGTACCCTCTTTGGGCCTCTGTGCGCTGGCGTGCCAGCTGCATCCCCAGATCCTCTCTCTGCTGCCTCAGGAGGTCCCGCTGTCTCTGGAGCTCCAGTGATGAGCCTCGCAGTACCTCCAGCTCGGCACGCTGGGAGTCCACCTCCTGCTGCAGCCCTGACAGCAGCTTCTCCAGGCTGCTCTTCTCACTGTGAGACACAGAGGTACAGAGAGTTTGTTAAGGTCAGCTGTTGCACAATGTGGATCTTCATTATTAGAACACTTCATATTTCTAAAAAAAGAACCATAACAAACACTTCTCGTATAAATATTGCTTTTGGCGAGGTTTCAGTACATTCAAATATGCTCTGATAATGATGGTGAAGATTTTCTACTCAACCCCAAACTATAACTGTCATCTATGAAGGATGATAAAATGACGTATTGACCGATAAATATATAAATAAATATGTAAATAAATACATACATGAATAAACAAATAAAGTAAATAAACAAAAAATAAATTAATACAGTAAAAAATAAATTCATAGATAAATAAATAAATGTATAAATAAATACAGGAAAAAGTGAATAGCAATGGCGATAAATAAAAGAATAAATAAATGCATAAATAAATAAATGTATAAATAAATATATGAGTAAGCGAATAAAACCGTGAATAAATTAAAAAAAAAAAGAATACATACATAAATAAATACAGACCAAAAAAATATGTTAATAAATAAATAAATGCATACATAAGAGCAGGAATAACTTAATAAATGCATAAATAAATCAATAATTAATAAATGTTTCGGTGTACCTTGAGCTGAGCTCCAGTGAGCAGCGGTATCTGTTGCTGTCTCTGAGGCTTTCCTCCAGAGCCTTTTTAGCCTCCTGACTTTCCCCCCTCACTTCCTGGATCTTCTGCTCCATCTCTCTCCTCTCAGTGTCTCTCTGCTGCAGGTGATCACGCAGTGTTTCCACCTGCTCCAGGGCGGCATCCAGACGCCCACGCAGGTCCTGTGGGATGTACATGGACACATTGTTTGAAGTGTGCAGATAAAGAAAGTAGAGTGAAATGTCATGACAGTCTCTAAAACAAATAAAACAGTGGTTCTCAACAATTTTGGCATTTCTGAACTTTTAAAGGGACAGTTCACCCCAAAATCTAAAGCACATGTTTCTCCTCTTCCATGTAGTGCCATTTATCAGTCTAGATTGTTTTGGTGTGAGTTGCCGAGAGTTGGAGATTCCGGCCGCAGAGATAGAACTAGATTCCACTCAGCTTGTGGTGTTTAAAGCACCAAAAAAATATATTTGAGAAACTCAATAGCAATGTCTTTTTCAAGAATGACCCGCTTACTCAAGATAATCCACAGGCCTTGCTGTAAGCAGTTTCATGTAGGAACTATTTTCTTTGTACCGAACTACACCCACCGACAGTATCACTGCCCAGAAGGAAACGTGCATCTATTCATGGACGAGAGGCTCATACTCAATACAGCATTAGATGTAAACAATAATGGCGTTCTCCTTGGCTGAGCTGTAATGTTAGCTAGCTTAGTAGTGTTAGGTGAGTTAGCAATAGAAAAGGCAGACATCTCTTCGGCCGATATCTCCAACACTTTAACCAAAACAATCTAGATTCCTAAATAGCACTACAGGTAAAAGAAAAAATGTGTATATTTGATTTTGGGTTGAACTATTCCTTGAAAATAAAGCATTCTTTAATCATTTTATAACCTCTCAGATTTCTTTTAGCTTCCTACCTTCAGGTTGGGAGCCACTTGTCTAAAACATGTACAACGGCAAAAGAAAAGCAAAGACAGACACTTTAGTTGAACCTGTGTTTGTTTATGATACTTGGAGAGAGCACTCTGCACAGCTATCAGCGTCGTGTTCCTCAGAGGAGACCGGCCATGAAGGGGTGAAGACGACAAACTTTCAGAGCCACTGCCATCACCGTCGCCACCAACCAACTGGGTAAGGCAGATATAATGATGGAGAATGAGACAAAACATGGATCTTCTGTGTGCTAACCTCATGCATGACCTCGGTCAGTGTGTGTTTTTGTTCTGACCTGGTGAACGTGACATAAAACCTTCTGCAGGGCTTGGATCTCTGTGTGGAGGACCTCCATCTCTGCTTTATCCTCTGTTCTCCTCGTCTCCTGAGCAGGAAACCATTAAGGTCAGATAAGCAGCACACATAGAGCAAGCCTGACATTCCCCAGACTGCAGCCCTCTAGACGAGGAAGTCGTGGAGTTTATCAAGCCCGGGGTCCAGACTACAACCCAATTTAACCACCCGTCTATCTACCACCTCCCAGGCATGATTCCCAGGGTCCCACCATCCTGTCCAGACTGATCTGCATGGTGTTGAGGCTGGAATCCTTCCCACTGTTCTGGCTGCGGAGGTGCTTCACCGTGTCAGTCAGCTCCAGGATCCTATACAGATAAATATGCATATAAATATAGGACACACAGACTCACGGTCTACTGAGACACTGAAGACACATGACTGACATGTACTCCTCCTCAGCCAGACCATCAACGCTATCATATTCTCTGCATAGAATTATAGGATTAACAATGACTTCTGATAAGATCAAAGCCAGCTGAATACAAAGGCACTGACATTTCTGCAGTCCTCTTTCCTCTGCAAAAGACAGAGGTCACTGAGAATAGCTTCTTGGGCAAGATTTTAATGATTAGACACTTTGCAAAGTTCTGGGGGTCCATATAAGGGATGAAATTTGGCTTGCCTTTCAATCATACATTAGGAAGAATTTAGAAATTTATTGGTTCTTTAACAGTTGCACCATAGATTACTTCACACCCAGGATTTCTATGTCAGTTTATGATACTTTTTTCTTCTTGACAGTCCTAGTCTTCGTCGACTACAATATGGAGGACAAAAAATGACATGAGTATCAATAAATAAATAAATAATGCTATGTCAATGCCATTCTTATGCCATGTTTGCAATCTTATAATTTTAATTTATTAAAATGATAATAAAAATGTATTTGCAAAAAAATAAATAAATGTATAAATAAATACAGGAATAAAAAATAAATATGAAAATAAATACAGTAAATAAATAAATGCTAAAAATATTATGGAAATAATTAAATAAATGTATAAATTAAAAAATAAATAAATGCCTCATTAACATACAGACACAGAAATACAGAAAAGATGTAGGTGTGCAAAAATGTAGAAATAAAATTAAGATATTTATTTGTGTCCTGTTTTAACTAACTTTTTTATTTATTCATGCATTTATCTATTTATTTCCATGTTTTTTTAACATTTTAATTAATATATCTAATATATCTACTGATTTCACCATTTATTTATATCCATATTAATTATCAATTAATTTATTCCTGTAATTATTTATTTATTAATATGTTTATTTATTTATTTATCACTGAATTTATTTATATGTTTATTGATACTTCAGTCATTTCTTGTCCTCCATAAGCTAAACCAATTCACAGAGTGTAGAATAACATGGCTGTGGGGTTTGTGCTGTCAGTCTGAAGTTTTAAGTTTGGGGGCTGACTTAAAACGTTGTTAATCACACAGTTATTTTCATTAGTAGTTAATGAGTCCAACATTCATGGTGAAAAATGTATCGGCTTTTGAGAGATAAATTGAGGGATTTCTAAGTTGTTCTAAGTTCTAAGTTCCAAAAGAAAGGAGGGAAATGATACAGTCGACAGGCCCAGAGAATTCGTAGATGACTTCACCTGGAGTTAAGCTCGATTTTCTCTGCATCCCAGCGACCCTGAAGCTGCATGGCCTCTTTGAGCTTGTCCTTCAGCTGTCTCTCCAGTGCTGACATCCCCACACCACTAGAGGTGCTCTCCTGTGTTACTCTGGCCTCTAAGTTCATGCAGGCAACATGCAGCTGCTGGCTGGCAGCGACACACTGCCCGCGCATATCAGACAGTGTCCTGTTGAACAGAATAATGTGCATCAAGATTTACTGACTGTATCATAACATAGGAAAAATCTGAAAGGGTAAGAAAACATGACATGCTGTTTTTGTTCATACGGTTGTGAGCCATTAGTCCGACTAAATAACTATCTGCTTGTATTTGCAAAGGATGGATGTCTATGGCATTTAAGCTCTGAGATCAGAGCTCACTTTGAAGTGTCTTCAGTTTAAATTACAGTACTGTACAGCTGTCTATGGGCTGAGCAATCATTGTTACAGCAAATGACTCTTCAGTAGTGCTTGCAGTGGTTCAACATGATAGAGGCCACGTCTTATAGAGATCAAGCTTTGCCTTGATGGATGATTTCAACAGTGAAGCGAGACACCTTAAGCCATCTGCCCCCCCAGTGAGGAAACAATGAGCAGGGGGACTGGCGACCCTGTTGACCTGTTCCACTTTGATCCTTGGCTGAGAGAGATGGATTCTGGTTGCAGTTGTGAGTGTGAGATGCAGGAGCGGTGGGGGTTCTTGTGGAATCCTGAATCGCTGGAGGGATTCTGGCAGTGCGCCACGCTCACCTGTCAGTCAAAGTCCTTAGCTGGGTGAAAGTACTCCGCAGGGAAGCAGCCTGGCGCCACAGAGCTCTGACACGAGCCTGTTCACGACTCAGCCGGGAGGCGCATGTCTGCAGAGAGAAGCACACAACAAGGGGACGAGGGTGGGTGGTAAGGGTTGCTTACAGCAAATGATGGCACCCTTCATTTTATTGTGATACCAAACAGATGCAATACTGGAACTCCTGGACTCACACTGGCACACATACAAATAATTGGATTTCCCTGAATCAACAGATGTAGCCCATTTACAGCACGAACGCCAGATTGTTTGCACAAAATTTTCCTCCCCCTCAGCACTTGGAATGTTTTCACAGGAAACAACAACTCAAAAATCATAGCAATGAAATGAACAGGGAATGAGAATGAATTGACAAAACTGGCCATGAATGGAATTCCTACCCCATGTGAACTCAACAGGACTTTAATTGCACAATCTCTGTACAGAAAGGGATAAACTTGAGCTTTCCCTGTTGCTTTTCTGACTCAAGCACTTCATTTTTGTGGTTTTTCTCACCTCTTGCTCTCTCCGCAGACGGGTATCACACAAGTCAACGTCTTCGCGAGCTTTCCACAAGCTCTCCGTTAGCCCCTGGTTGACAGTGCCTGCCTGCTCCAGTTGTTCCCGCAGCAGAGAGTTGACTTGGCTGAGGCTTGCACACCTGGATATAACATTATTTATTATAACATAATGACAGTGAGAGACCATTTGGCACTGCTCCCCTGACAAACGAGTCTCGTGACACCCTCCTGTAACACTTCCACAGCCCCCCATTTAAATTGCAGGCATATCACTCTTACATGTAGTCTCTAGATCCACCCTTGCCAACCGGAGGGCGAACATGTGAGACAATTTTATAACGTCTGTGTCAGCTTAGATGTAATATCAACCAGATCTGCTTGCTTCACAAAAACGTTTACATCATTCTCACACTAAACACCCACCCTGTTACAGTAAAGCACGCCACATTGACTGTGTTTACATGCACACTAATATTCCAGTATTGTTCCAAATATGACAAGAATCTGAAATTGATACATGTCATGTAAACAGCATGTTCCAAATCAGACCTTAGTCCAAATGTAGCAATTTCCAGTTAAGACATTTGTGATATGCCGATATTATTCAGGTTTTTAAGCATTATTTGGACATATTTGGAATATGGAATATTGGAATATTAGGGGTTTTTGACACAGTTTGCGATACACAGGATCTTGCCTGTTTACAGTCAGCTCTGTGTTCTGTATACAAACCAACCAGCCAACAGTTTGCAAGGCTGCAGTAGAGATACATGCCCAGAAGACAAGCCCAAAGTTTTGGTTGTTAGGTGGAACATACCTATTTTTTTAAACATTACAAAAGACTAAGGCATCAGCAGGTTTTCTGATATGTGCAAATATTGCAATGCAACCTTTTCTAGAAGGTGGTTGAAGGAATGAAAGAGCGAGGTGAAGTCTGTCACTGGTGGAAAGCTAAACTTAATTTTGAGGGCTTTAATGGATTAAAGGAATGACACATTATTAGATCCAGGGCGTTTTTAAAATCATTATTAGGCCTATTCTTATTTATTAAAATACATATATATACAGCCTATTTAGAATCTGGGTTGTTTATAAAACATTCAGGGCTGAAACCTCTGATGCCCAGACGTAACAATGCCACTGGAGGTTGGCGCTATGAAGAAGTGAGAGGTGGATCTGACTCTCAGACTGTATGACGCCTCACCTGTCACTGAATGGGCCGTTTTTTTGTACCAGGCTGTAAACTTGTTTATTTCTGCTGTAAATCTCAAGTGTCCATTTGACACAAAGAAGCAAAATGGCACAAGCTACTTCAGCTGTTTCGCTTTTCCATATTTAAATGTGTTAAATGACATGTTAGGGTATGTTAATTAGAGTCTGCATGGCTGTATGTAAACAGGAATATTAGTGGAATATTAATTTTCATTAGTCATGTAAAAAGCTTAGTAGAAATATTGACTTTTTAGAAATAAGGGCCAGAAACCAGAATATTTTCTGCATGTAAAAGTATTCACTGCTGTCTCTGGTTATCTGTCTGAAGGAAAGCCAAGCCCATGTTTGCAAGTATGGGATGATATCCTGTTTAAAGGGAACTGAGCAGCAGTAATCCCAATAATTAGCAGAAACAAAGTGGAGGCTGTAGGCCTAATCTCTACATTGCACTTACATTACAAAGTGCTTCAGTGGATCGAGCTCTGCAGTGAGTGATATTTTAGGCAGTAAAAACGATCAGGTCTCTGCCATGGGCATTTCAAATAAAGTTCCATAACTATATAAATCACAGGGCATTAAAACCTGGCCTCAGCTGCAGAGGTTGGCCCACACTTAATGTGAGGCATCATTAAAATGCTTTGGAGAAGAGAGCCAACATAGTCCCACTAATTTTCTCTGACAAATTGGATACTGTGATTATCTGCCAATGGCAGGTTCTGCCTTCTCCCTGCAGCAGGGGCAGGGCAAACGCAGCAGGAGGAACTGCTGGGAACATCTCTGGTGCACACATTTCTCAGAAATATTTCGGCACGATCTCTGCTTCTCAACAAGAAACAGAGAAATAAAAAAGCAAATTCTAACAGGTTTATCCGTGAATTACTGCTTGAAGTCTGCAGCCAAATAGCGACTCCCTGCTGCTGCAGATTATTTCAGGAATCCGAACTTTGTGCTCTTTTTCTAAGACTCACAGATATGTATTACTTATGGATACAGAAGCTGTACACGTTTCTGCGGTGTCCATCACTCACCTCTTCTGCTCCTCCTCCAGCTGAGCAGACTTTTTCTGGATAGCCATGCTGAGATCCTGCTCTTTTTGCTGCTGACGCTGGGCTGAGTCCAGGTGAGCCTGCAGCTGAGCACACACACACAAAAACACACCACCACGACTGGCATCTTGGTAACACTTCAGTATTTGGTCGTGCTGTAAATTAGCAGTTCGCTAATATTTAGAAAGCAACACAATTACAGTGAAAATCCGCTAATCCAAACTCTCTGCGGAGGCCACTCGGCCAAGAATAATATTTGGATGAATTAAATACATTTAAATAAAAGCACAACTCTTATTCACAACATTAAACCCATGTTTTACCTTTAGTTATGCATTATTCCTTTACTGGTTGACTTTCATAGCTTGCTGGATTTAAACAAATGAGCATGAAGGATAAAATGATATTACAGAATTTTGAATGGAGATATAATGGCTCATTATATGTCCAAATTAATTATAATTACAGTATTTACACAAAAAAATGCTCCCATTAAACAAAGATTAGTTTAACACTTAAACACTGTTTTGTGTATTTTTGCAAAAATTAATTCTAATGATCAAGATTTGACAAACATTATGCAGTAAAATGGAAAACAGCTAAAAGAATAACAGTGCTAGCAAAGCAAATTTAGTTGATCAGCCAGTTCAAAAATATTTCAGGTAGGTTGGGCGTAAAGGCCCTGACACACCAAGCCAACTAGTTGTCGCTCAAATTTGAGCTGTTGGTGAGCATCTGCCATCCGAGTCGTTGTGGTGTCCCCCACTATTGCCCCCCGTCGGCCCCTGTCGGCCTTCTTTGGCTGATTCATCATGTTGAATTGGCGTAAGCAACGGTGGAGCCGGTCGGTGAAGAGGGAGTGAGACCAAAACTAACTTAAGGTAAGATTATTTTTCTTTAGCCATTGGGACAGAAATGTTTTGTGATGATTTGTTTTATTGGTCACTGGTTAACGTGCTAACAGCCTAACTAGCGTCAAGACGATCTTCCAGTTTCCCTCTTTGAATGAGGAATATAGATTATGGCCATCTGCTGGTGTGGAGAGTTATTTGTTCTCACACAGGAGCAGAACGTACGTGCTGGTTGGCCGAGACACAGGCTACTCCAGGTGATGCAGCAGGGAACTTTCACCACCATGAGTACTCTGAAGTCAGTTTGCTGTGTCTGGGCCTTAAGGAGCAGACTGGCCTCTAGGGGTACTTTGGAGTACTGCAGGACAGTGAGATTCATTTTAAATGTAAATTTAACAAACATCAGTCATGCATAATTCCTAAAATAAATAAATCAGTTCAATGCAACTAGAATGCCATCTTATGCTTATTGCATGATGAAAAGAATTGGTATGCCATGAATTTTGCATTGGTAGTTTAGTTTGTAGTTTAGTAAATCAGATGATGGCACAGTGCTTTATTGTACCGCTTCATATAGGCTTTTATTACTTCTTCTCTTTTTTACCAAAATTGTTTTGTGCTCGTCAGGAACAACCCACCAGTTGGGAGCCAGTGTTTCAGAGCAGTGGTTCCCACTGGTGGGTCGAGGTCCAAAAGTGGGTCCCGGGTTCCCTCTGAATGTACCGCAAGTGACTTGCAGATGTGTCAAGTTTGTAAAAAACACACTTTATTCTTAGGTACAGTGAATTTCAGGCACAGAGCTTTTATTTTGAAGTGCCATGTCCTGCTTTAGAGTGAGTGACTAATGGAGAGCTCCTTCACAGAGATGGCAAACTAGCTTGACAACATGGCCAACCACAAGTATGACACTGAACGTCTTTATCTGTGTGGACCTTGAACTAATAACTACGCAGAAGTCTGGACCAGTTGGGAACCACTGCTTTAGAATACCCTTTAGACTTAGAGCTTGAATATTTATATTTAAGCAATACTGCTTCTTGAAGATGATGCAACAGTCTAGACATACCAACAATCTCATCTTCTCAGAGTCCGAGGTCTTCTCCAGCACCTGCTGTTCTAGCTCCCCACACCTCTTCTTGTACTGAAGAACCTTGTATAAAATCAACATAAGGTGCACAGCTGAACTAAAGGAACTTTTTTTTTTTTTCATGTAAAAGTTTTTGAATTGTGAGTTCTATTTATTTACAGTCACCTTGGTCTGAAGCTTCTGGACAAGTTGGGCTTGTCTCTGCTGGGCCTCCTGAAACGCCTGCAGTCTTTGCCTGTAAGCTCTCTCCTTGTTCAGGGATCCTGGTGATACACTGTCCTGGTCTGAGTCCACTGGTGACGGCAGCATCAGCATCTGATCGAGCTGGGTGGAGCAGAAAGACACAGGGTGGTCACGATAACAGAATTTAAAACTTTGACAAAACACTGGTATAACAAGACAAGGTCAAAACCTAGTATATGGCTAGACCTGAATCTGCTTTTACATCTGGGACCTCCCGTCTACGATGGGCTTGAGATGCACCCTTGTCAAGGACTTGGCTCAGATTCCGGGGTTACTCTCTTATCCTGAAGTCTCCTTAAAGAATCTGATCCTGTTTGATTTGGAGGTGGGAGCCTCTTGCGACCACATGCCTTTGCTGACGTCAACCCCAGCATGATTTGAGCCCTGGACCTTCCACATGGAAGATGAGTGCTCTAACCACTACACTAGGGAAGCCCCTAGTGTAGTGCTATGCCATTGTGCCCGTGGCTAGCTGGCTATCTAGCTAATTTACCACGCCTTTATGCTTCTGTTACAATGCTCATAAAAAATAATAGTTGTCACTCATCTGATGATAGCGATGTGTTAGTGTGTGGATGAAGCATTCCTGTAGTGGCTGGCTAGTTAGCTAGCTAGCTTGCTAATGCCCGTATCCTGTTACGCAACACTGGTTACAGAAAACAAGGAATACAGTAACACATAACTGTCAGCACCCATGTCTCTGTCCATCAGCTTGTAAGCACCTATTTATTTTGAAAGAACAACAGCCAATGGGGAAACACCAACTTTGATGTCATCAGTCACTGACCAATGGTGTAACTTCATCACTCACTCAGTCATTCAGGGACAGACTTTCATCTTTATAGGGCTGACCTCAACTCTGCAGTCCAGCCAAACAGAAAAAATGGCCTAGCATACAAAATAGGATATACATACACATATATATTTTCTTAATTAATAACCTGTACACAGCGCTGGTACAGAAAACATCACTGAACACACACGCTTCCAGTCACTTTGTGGGTTCACTGCTGGTGAGAATGCCGTAACAGACACAGGGCCATCTGTGCAGCATTGAGTTTAAAATCGTGTTATATATCTGTTCTTTACATCGTCAGTACTTTCATTACTAGAACATGTAATTAGCAGAGGTTGTATTGTTTTAAACATGCGGTGTCGAAAAAAGTATCCAAGTACTGACAACCGCAGTAACAAATGACCTTTGGCAAGTTTGACAATGTGACAGGATATTGCACATTGCAGTAATATACACACACTCTGCACTGTGTTTATTACATACATTTGTAAGGTCTAATGCAACAGCCCTACAATAAATCCTTACAAAGCTTATTGTACTCTGTCTCACGGACTGTGTGTTATGGAGGTGTGCTGTGGTCATTTTTGCAGCTGTTGTGGTGTTGCTGTACTGGGCTGCGTAATACTGAACTGTCCGTCCATTCCACCGTTCACAAGGATTTATTGCAGACCAAATGAGTTAGATTGCACTGTTTTATGTGGGTGTACTTAAGAAACTGGAAACTCAAGTTGGGTTTCCAACTGACTTTTCAGAAAATCAGCAAAAGACAATGCTCATTTGTGCGCTTTTCCATCCACAACTGTTACTCGAATACTGGGGGCTGATTTATCGAGATAAGCAGTAGGTGGCAGTCAGTTGCCATTATACCACTGCATAGTAGAGACCTCAATGACATCACATACTTAACAGAGCCCCAGTTAAACCTCAAATGAAGAAAACTAATGGATGTGTAAGACAACGAAGAGAGCGTGCATTGGTCTATGCAATGACAGTATCTCACGACCGTACATCATAATATATTAAATTAATCTGTTTCCATTGCACTTATAGTCGCATTAACCTGATATTGATACACCAACTTTTTTACCTCCCACAAACATAGAAAAATTTCGAATTCACATAAAAACAGGCGGATGGAAACACACTCATTGACAGTGTGTCATGGAGGTGTGCTATGGTCATTTTTGCAGCTGTTGTGGTGTACGTCTATTGCACCATTCACGGGGATTTATTGTACTTAACCTGTGGCTCAGTCTATCTCATCCTATATCTGGATATACCTGTGATTAATGGTTGGGCTATGATTTCATTCAGAGGAGTCATTTAGCAGTTTTCATCAGTTCACTGTGGGTTGTGTTTGAGAAAAATAAAGTTAATGTATGGGAGCTTTGCTTGATATACTTTGACGCATACTATGCATGCAAATTTATGCCAGAAAGAATGTCTTACATCTTGACTTGTCATTACTATCATCACAATTCAATGATATCAATACTAATGAGACTAAATGTGTGCTGCATGTTCCCCACAGAAATAGGAACCCTGTAATACTCAACATGTGATTGACTGCAAAGTGTGAAAGTTTCACAAACTTTGTTTTCAAAGATGGGGTTACAGTATTGATGTCTATGGAATGTAGAAGTATAGTATGTTTGTCAATGGTTGTGTCTATCAACTGCATCTAAAAACAAAGCAACGCACTGCTCTTTCTCATTGAGGAATCTCATATCCTCTCCCATATCTGAAATCCAAATGTCCTGTAACCTCTCAACCTCACACAACCTAAACTCCCACTGCACCACCCACTCTCTATCCTGGTGCCAGACACCCTGTCCTCACTAATACAAACCACATGGCCCCAGAGCGCTACAACACACTGCGTGCCTCCAGCTGCCCTTGCCGACTTCTCATTTAAAAGAGAGGAAGAGAGTGAGAGCGAGGGAGCCCCCTCCCCTACAACAAACTCCAAACCACCATCCAAGCCCTTCAAATCAACCCTGCGACCCACTCCCTCCCACCTCTCTTCTGTACCTCATCTCTTCTCTGGGTGCTTAATCTCTCCAGCAGGCTCCAAGAGAGCCAAGACAATAGTCTCACTGTTCAACACTGAACCCCGCCACTTTGCCACCATTATTAACACATTTTCAAATGCCCTTCTCAGAATTTTATACTACAAACTACACTAACAGCCATCATGCACTTGGCTCCGTGCTTTTGGTGTTTTTCTTCGAGGACCCAGAGAGCACAAAAGCCTCTTTTACTGCCCGTTGTTGAGGTGACAGCTTTAGGGACTGAGAAGGGAGGAACAACATGGGCGGAGTGTTTGAAACACACAGAACTGCAGCAGCTGTGTTTAAAGGGACTCCTGGAAACAGCTGTGTGTGGAGCTTTAGTGATTATGCATCTTTTCAAGTATTTTGGCACAACTATAGCAATAACACTGACTTACTAACAAGCATGTACTTTATAAATACACCTTCAATACATGGCCATAGCACACATGGTTTATTACAGCACATGAACAAATCTACATTTGGATCCTTGTGGAGGGGCCTAATGCTGTTTGGGGAAGGGGACCACAGTACAACTGAGACCATGCTGTACTACACCAAGTCATGAAAACATACCAAAACTAAATCAAACTCACCCTCATAACAAGTAACTCAGAAATACAAAAGGCTTAGTTATTTCCACATATTTGCGCCTAACAAGACTCCCCAGAAGGAGCGCAGTCAACACCATGGCCAAAATTAACCCATTAAGGTGCACTGGTGCAACAATCACCCGCCACTATTAACTCTCTATTAAAATGTACCAAGTGTGCACAATATAAACTTTTCTAATGATAGTGTAAAAACTAGTTAAATGATTCGGATGAAGGCCCCTGTCATTTCAGTTGATACTGTACCTTAAAGCTGAGGTAGGCAGTTTTATTTTGGCGTCACTGGGCAAAAATCCCATAATAATTTTGCATAATTGAAATTCAAGTGGACTGAGGGGACACTAGACTTCTTTACCTCTTCTTGGCTCTGATTTCAGGCTTTAGAAAATCTAGCCTGTGACAGGGGACCAATCACAGGTCATGTCAGAGAGAAGGCATTCCTATTGGCTGTTTTACCAATGCAGCTGAGGGTTCATGTCCCTTCAGATGGTGAAACCCTGATTCAGTAGCAGAAAAAGGTGTGATACCAGCATTGGCAATAGCTGCCCACACTGCAATGCAACCAACAAGAGGAAGATGGACTTATCAAAAAGAGTCTCACAATAAATCAATAAAAACGTGTGTTAGTATCGGTGGGACCTTTTAGAGATGGAGATACAACTTTCCTAACAGTTTAGCCTTCTGCCAACCAGAGCTAAAGGCTCATAGCTGCAGCTTTAAGTTAACATTTTATGTAGCTAATGTTAGCTGGAGTCTTGAATGAGAATGTGTATCACTTCAGACCACCTCGCTAGGAGGAGAGCACGCAGCAGCTCCGAAGACGGCCCATCAGTCAGCCGCCACAGAAACCAGAATCCAGCAAGCGCAGACCCCAGACTAACCACCAGCTCAGATAACTTTATGTTGCTGCCATTACACAGATTAGACCCGGTGCTGCTGCTGGCCACCAGCCTGCTGTGAAACCTGGCGGTACAGCCGCCAACAGAATGTCCGTTTTAGCAGCTGCTGCCTGATCTCCTCCAAGTGAAGCAGTTCACAGTGGCAGGGAGCAAGGCGGAGGGACAGTTGGGTGGCTAGCAAGCTAATTCTTGTAGCATTTGCAGTCAGATAAACAGAGAAAGGGTGGGGCAAGAATGGCTGAGCTGATGAGCTGCGGGCGACTCTACAATGACTGGGGTACTGTATGAAGCATGTGCATATACCTGAGGTCATGTGGTGGGAGGGGCTTGAGACAGAGAGGAGAGAGCTGCAGGAGGAGGATGCATTTTTATATTCTTTGATTGTTTTTTGCCTCTTTCAGATTTCCGCCTTCTCCATCTTTAAAGATACCCTGTGAGTTTTCGACCACTGGTAGCGCCATGAAGCTGGGTCCCTGTTTTGTTTGTACTGCGCACATGCACAGGGACATACAGGCACATACATGAGCATTCTGGCAGCACGATATGCAGTTCTGCCACCAGTTTCACGTTACATCACTGATCAACAGTTGCCAGCGGTGACATGCAAAGGGGTGTAGCAATGCACCAACAAAGGCAATGTAGAACTACTACCAAGTACACAAGGATGTAAACAATTCAAGATTGGACATATTTTAAAAAATTGGCTTTGTAAATGTTTCATGAG